TTTGCTTACATTCCCATTCACTAAAAAATGGAGACACTCAAAAAAAGACAAAAATTAAAAGTGCAATGTCCTAAAAAAAGCTGAACCCACAATTTCGTACCTAGTGTTTGAACTGTTACAGATGCTAGGCAAACGCATCATTACGTTAAAAAGAACACTAGTCAGCTATACCAATCTTTCCTAGTATTTGGTGGGACACAATTCAATTAAAACAATTTGCAGGGGCCGAAAGTGCGTGTGTCAAGGCTGCTGCATCTGTATCAGACCTGAGTCGGACGGCTCCCCGCTTCGGATGCGGGTCCCGGGACCTCTCAGGCCGAAGGTGAGGCTCCAGCAGCCCGACCAGCCCTCCGCCCGCGCGTGCGCACCGCGCGCCGGCCAGCGTTACGCCCCGCCGGGCGGGGCGGCGCGCCGAGCGACTCGCTCACAGTCACGCGTGGGGCCGGGCACTTGGGACCCCTCCAGAGACGGGTCCCACCCGCAGCTCGGAGCACCGGAGCCCCCGGGGGAGCGCCAGGTCCCACAGCGGGGAGCACCGCGCCCCCGACCCCCGCGGCGCCAGACTTCCGGGAAGAGGGGACCCTAAGTGCGCCGGCCCCGCTGCCTTCCCGCCGCACAACTCTTCCAGCGGCTGCAAGTCCGGCGTCCCCACCTTCCGCCGCACGGAGCACACTTTAAAACCAGGACGTTTAACGCAGCACATTCCGCTCGTCTTCATTTTTCTCCCCTCACCTTGGGCCTTAAAGACACTACATCATCTTACCCCTTGAAAACTACAAACTAGATTTAAGCAGCTTCACTGAACACATCAGGAGGGCTGTGCGCGAATTTAGGGATGCGGCTCCTCGTCCGGCCCGGTCTCCCCACACTTGTGCACAAGTCCCGACCCGCAGGACGTTTCCGAGCAGGCGCGAGGAGCCCGCGCGGACCCGCAGACTCGTCCCGAGCCCGCGCGTCCCGCAGTCGGTGCGTCCGCGGCCTCCGGAAGTGAGCTCCGAATCTGCTCGGACGCACACAGCGCCGGGAAACGGTGGCCCGCGACGCGGGTCTCCTGTCCGCACCCGGCGGCGGGCAGGCGGCAGGCGGAGGGGCCGGGGTCCCCACCGTCCGCTCCCGCCCTCCGCGCCGGCCGCTCGCCCAGAGCGCGGCCCCGCCCGGGCCCCCGCCCGCCGCCGTTGGCCGCTTCCTCACCTTCGGGGACTGCGCTCCGGGAGTGGCCGGGTCGCTGTCGCACGGCCGCGGGGACAGCGCCGTCCCGGGGCCGGCCGCCGCCGCCATCAGCCCGAGCGCCCCGCGCCGCCGCCTCCGCCGCCGCCGTCGCTTGGTCCCGGCCGCCGCCGCCGCCGCCGCCACCGCCGCGCGGGCCGCCCGCCGCCCCAGCCCCGCCCCTCCGCCCGCCCGCCGCCCGGGGGGCCGGCCCCTCCCGCCGCGCGCCCCGCGGGCCGCCAGCGCCGCCGCCGCCGCCACCGCCATGGCCGCCGCCAGCGCCGCGCGCCGCCCGCCGGGCCGGCTCTGCTGCCGCTGGGCCCCGCTGGGCCCCTGCTCCCCGCGCCGCCGCTCTGGCCGCCCAGCAGCCGCTCCGCCCTTAGCTACCGCCACCCGCCGCTCCCGCAGCCCGCGCCGCCGCGCCGCGAACACCCGCCGCCAGCCGAGCTCCCCGCGACGCGCCGCCCCACCTCCCGCCGCGCCCCCCGCCCGGCCCCGCCCCCGCCCCGCGCCCCCGGCCCGGCCCAGCAGCACGTCAGCCCCGGGGTCCCCTCCCCTCCCTCCCCTCCCCCGCCTCCCCCTGGCTCCGGCCCGGGAGGCTCCCGCCCGGTCCCTCGTGGCCCCAGCCCTTACTGCCGCCCCCCGCCCGCCTTTGTTCTCCGCTGGCGCGCCGGTCTGCTGCCAGGGAGCCACCTGCCCTGAGATGTGGACTCGCCACTTCCACCGCGACGGGTGCGCAAATCGTAAAGCGTCAAGTCAGCTGAAATTCCGCCCGCATCTGCGAGTCTGTGCTGGGGTGTGGTTTGTGCAGCAGCTACCGGGACGGAAGACAGGCCGGCCTGCGGGACAGGACGGACAGACAGCCGCCGAGGGGCAGGCGGCTTCCTCGCGCGGGTCCGACTGGGGGACACCGCAGCGGCCCCAGGACCTTGGGGACCACGTTGATGTTTGGGTTCTGGCTCCACGCTCACTCCAGTCTTGATAAGCTCTTCAGCTCTTTTCTCATCTGTGAAGTGGGGAGAAATCCTGCATCTTCAGGGTTCCTGTAGAGGGCACTGTGCATGGTGGGCCCCTCGAATGCTTCCAGGGAATGGGAGCTGTTTCTTTGCAACGGAATTTATTATTGACCCAACTTTTTAGGCCGCACTTAGTCACTTCTGGGACTTCGTTTACAAACAAAAACAGCCCTGGCTGGTGTGGCTCAGTGGTTTGAGCACCCGCCTGTGAACCAAAGAACCTCCAGTTTGATTCCCAGTCAGGGCACAGGCCTGGGTTGTGGGCCAGGTCCCCAGTAGGGGGCGCGCGAGATGCAACCACACATGGATGCTTTCCTCCCTTCCCCTCTCTATAATAAAATCTTTAAAAAAAAAAACAAAAAACTGAGGAACTGAACTTTAACGCATGGCACACAGCTGTGATGACAAGGTGCCAGGGAACTCATTCAGGGTGACGAGTGGCACACACTTTGCATGTCAGAACTCGACTCCTTTCGGGGCACTGGGGAACGTTCCTGCATTGAGGGGCCAGTACGCTGCCCTCCCACTCGTTATTTCTGCTTACGCTCTGCAGAAACAAGTTGGGAAACACAGGATGACCTCGGGCCGGGCCATTAATGCAAACAGCCACCTAGACTGGCCGGCCAGCCCTCTCCCGACCTCCCACTAGCGTCAGGCCCAAAGTGGCACCACCTCCGACTGCACTCAGTTTAGACTTTGCTCTCTCAGTCCCACCAAGACCCCATTTCCCTCCCAAGAACCTGCCACTCCACTCAGCACCCACAGAGGCCCCAACTCCAGGCACAGTGCAAATGGCCCAGTCACGACACCAGCTGCTGGGGTGGCTCGGCAATGTCACCACCGAAGGTGTAGTGGCCCCGCTGTGAAATGCACAACCTCAGGAGGATCCAGCATCTTCTCGGGCAGTTCCGCCTGCGCCCAGGAAGCCCAGGAAACCCACCGCCCAGTGCCGGAGGGAAAAGGCTTGTAGAAACAGGCCTCCGCCCCGGGCCCTGATTGATCTGTCCTCATGCAAATGAGGGCTCCAAATCCTCCCCGTCGGATTGGCTCGTTCTCACTAATGTTTTCTATGGCAAGGTAGCAACTGCTCGCTCCCTTTGTGAAGAGTCTGCTGTGTCGCCTGGAGCTGTTAGTCCTGGATCATCCAGTCATTACGACACCTCAGCGAAAACCCTCCTCGACCTTCCCATCCTCCCGTTTCTAGATTATTCCACTAATGGGTGTTTTTACTGCCAATTACATTTACTCGGGGTTTCAAGCTCTGAGTGCAGGCGCGCCTCCCTTCGTCGCACTTTGCTTTATTGTGCTTTGCAGAAGCTGCGTTGTCGTCAACATCGAGCAAGACCCTCCCACCAGCAAAAAGATCGCGGCTAGCTGAAGGCTCACATGACGGTCAGCATTTTTTACCAATAAAGTGTTTTTTAATTAAGTACTTTGTTTTGCTTTGACATAATGCTGCTGCACACTTAATGGACTATAGTGTAAATATAACTTGTAGGCCCTGGGAAACCAAACATTCACGTGGCTCGCTTTTCCGCAGTGGTCTGGAGCCAGACCCGCCGCGTCTTCACTGTCTGCCTCTGCAGCCGCGTGCTGCTCATAGACCGGGATGCGCTCCGAGATGCGCTCCGAGATGCGCTCCGAGAAATGTGTCCTTAGGCGATTTTATTGTGCAGACGTCAGCGTGCACGTGCGGGGCCCGCTACACACCTGGGCTACGTGGTGCGGCCTGGCACCTCCGGTCCACACGCCTGCGCGGCACATCACCGTGCTGGATGCTGTGGGCAGCGGTAATGCGCCGCAGCACGTCACGGGGTAACGGGAACTTCTGGCTGCGTTATCATCCCACGGGACCACCTCACAGCACTGTTCTGCAGCGCATGGCTGTTTCAGGAGGAAAATCGCATGGATTGTCACAGGCGGCGTCGCCGCCTCCTCCCCCGAGCCCAGCCCTTGGCTCCTTGCTAGAAGAGCACCAATTTCCGTGTACCCACTGTCTTCGCGCAGCCAGTGTTCAAGGTCAAGGAAGACGGCTCCAGCCCCCCCCCCCGGGGGAGGGGACGACCAGTGCAGTTACAGGGCGTGACCAAACCCTACCGACTCCCACCAAGGCTCCCACAGGTCTGTGCGGAGAGGAGGACAGAAGGAAGCTGGGTCCTTGATCAAATGTGCGGAAACACAAATTTCCACTCTAAAAATAACCGTATCAGGTTTTTTAATCTGGCATCTGAACAGAACCTGACTGACTGACAAATAGAGAGACCACACATCTGTAAGCACTGTGACTGGGGTGTGGGGCATTAGTTAGGGCAGAATTAAATATGTTCACATTTTTCTTTAAAACTTGGTCATTCCTTTCAAAAGAATGCATGTAATGTATTAAAATACCACTCAGAAGACATCTGCCTTTAGGTGTTTTCCAAAACTCATGTGAACATTTACCTAATTTGATACTTTTCAGGGTTGAGTCATAATTTCCTATAGTCAATTATAATTGTCTTGAATCCAAGAATGATCCTTTTCCCGTACTATAATCTACTATAATCATTCGCGTATTCATATGTGAATATACCTTTTTATATTGTGAGGTAGTAGAGTATTAATAACTACCATAACTGGAAGTACGAAGGTAAAAACGCAGCTTTTACTTGTCAAAAGAATACAACTAAGACAGGTTGACTGCAGATAAAGATGGGGCCAGCCACAACCGCGGGGACGCACGCGGCCGTGAACCCCGCGTGTCCGGGACGCGGAGGAGCGGGCCTGGCCTGGGGCGAGTCACTCACAGTAGAGAGCGAACACCAAGGCCAGCGCAACGTAGGTCTCCGTCTCGTGCTTCGCGGCGACCCAGGTGTCCCACGCCACGTCCCAGATCCACTGGCTGGAGACCTGGAGGCATGTTTAAGACTTAACTTTAGATTAAGCATGAGAAGAAGTGACTTTCAAGCCTGCACGAGTTTGGTTTCTTACAGATGCAGCAGCAGGCTGGGAAGCCGCATGTAGCAAGTGCTCTGCCCCGGAGGGACTCAGGAGCAAGGGCTCCGGGCCCAGCTCCTCCTTCACCACAGCCGGCGGCCGCAGCACAGACAGACAGGCGGCCGTCTGTCCGCAGCTGGGGTCTAGCAGCCCAGCGTACAGGGCGCCCTGCTGTGCTGCAGCCCATCCCTAGGAGTTCCTCTTCCCGGCCTTGACGAGTTCCAGCTGAAAAGGTGCCAGGGCCTCGTCCGGGAGTGCAGGAAGGGCACTGACCACACGAGCAGGCCACCAGAGACGAGCCTCACTCCTGCGCTTTGCTGACAGAGCCATCTGCGGTCTGACTACAGCCCACCTTTCCATGCGGCATCTAAAACGGCCACGGACCGTCTCTGGCCTCTCCCATCAGGAGGCTGAGTCTGTTTCCCACTCTGGATATCAGCGGGCGCTGGGACTCGCCTTGAGCGAAAGAGTGTGGCCTTGCGCACATCCCAAGCCAGGCCTTTGAGGCCATCTGCTCGCACCTTCCAGGAACACTGGGAGGAGACCCGGCATGCAGGAGGCCCTCGGTCCCCAGAGGGTGACGGCTCCTGTGTGGGCAGCCCAGGGCTCCACCAGCAGCCAGCACCACCCGTCAGACATGGGGCCGAGGCCACCGGTACGCCCGGGCCCAGCTGAGTGAGTCACCAGGTGGCCGCAAGCACCTCAGTGAGTCCAAAGGAAAAGACAAAGAACTGGTCCGGGCCGAGCTGACCCCCAGAGGACGTGCTCCTGAATCCTGGGGGCAGAGGGGCGGGGGCTCGTAGTGCTGGCAGCAGTACTGCAGACACAGCACCCCACTCTCCACTGCCGGCAGGCACCGTGGCCTCCCTGGGAGACACTCACGCATCCCCGCCCTTGCGTGTGGGCACCCCAGGCTTCCTCTCCGTGGGAGTTCCGCCAGATCCCCGGCACAGCCGGGTTCTCCTCGCCATTCCGTTACCAGGGCTCTTCCCTGTCTCTGCGCAACCCCAGTGAGTCGCTCGGTCACTCGCTCACATCGCCAGCCTGATGTACTCTCCGAAGCACTAATCGCCCTGGAGGAGCCTCCAGTCCCTTAGGTGGGGACTCTCCTCCTGGACACAGTCCGGACAGGCTCCTTCAGAACGCACCCTGCCCGCCTGGTGGCCCTGCGTTCTTAGCTGTAAATAACAGTGATCACCTTGCTGCGTCCTGGGGACTCTGTGCTGGAGACGACGTGAAGGACTTGAATGTAATCGTCCCGCTGGGCCCTCACAACCGCCCTGGCAGGCGGGTTTCGCCACCCCCGTTCTGGGTGGGGCCCCGGCGCAGGCCACAGCGGTGCGTGTCGCCGCCCGGACTCCGGCCAGCTCCACGGGTACACACGCCCGGCTGTCCCACTGCCTGCCTCGCTTCATCTCCCCCAACTGCGAGCTGTGTGGCCCCACCCCCTCGACGGGAGCTGGCTCTGTCGGGGACGCAGGCCCACGCCTAGTCACTGGGTCATTTCTCTGGTGGCGCCTAACACCCTTTCCTGCCTAAAACAAAGTTACGGGTCACTCACTGAATGGCATTAAATTGTCAAAACAGGTACGACTGAGAAGCAGGCTATCTGTACAACTTACTAAACCAGGAATAGGAAGCTGTCATTTCTAGGTTAGTGTTTTTCAAATAATTTACAGTGAAAGCACAGAAACGGGGAGTGCTGACCCCATCACTCCGGGGCCCCACCGGGCCTCGCCACGCTGGGTGTGACGGGGATCGACGGGGTACTTACATTTATTGCCTGGCCGGTCTTTTGAATAAGTAACACCTTGACAATGATTTTATAGCGCTGGTACCCGAATTCTTTGACCGCTGACATCATGCAGTCTGCTAACTCTAGCGACAGACGAGAGAAGACTTTATCGTCATACTTGACGTCTTTAAGGCTGTCCTTTAAAAAAATTTTTAGAAATTAATTTTCTAACCAAATCTTTTCTAAAGATTCAAGTAAAAAACATGGGTCTAGGTAATACATATAGCTTTTTAACCAAATAATATGAAAAGCATGTTATGCTTACCAATTTATTTCAGTAAGAATTTTGAAGAAAACTCATTTTGTTTTTTCAATTATGTTCAGTTACTCTTCATTAAGCTGTAAATTCCCCTTCATTAGATTACTCTTACCAAACAACCGAGGAGACACAAGGAGAATTTTAACAGAACGCCCTGGAAATTCTTAGGTAGAGGAAATAGATCTTTTAAAAACTGACCTGTTCGCTAAAACCCGGATCCGGGGTTTCCCAGAGCGCGGACTCCGACGCCCAAGAGCGGCACTAGGTCCTGCCGGCCTCCCACCGCCCACTGCTGTCCGTCTGCCTCTCTCTAGCGCCTCCCCGTGGCTGCCCGCACGGTGCTTGTTCCCGTGGCCTCCTGCGGCCTACGGGTGGACGCCAAGGAACCCAGGGCTTCTCATCACAGGTGTTGACAGCTGGCATGCAGCCGGGACACAGGTGTGGCCGCGGAGCGCCACACCGACCAGCTGGCGAGCAGACTCACATGCCCCCGAAAAACCGACTTGCACCAGGGACAAATTAACCCCTATTCTGGGCCCTGGGCTGTAACAAACGGGCTCCTAGCTCATTCTACAGGCAGGTGAAACCACAGAGGTGGCCCTTTTCATTGGAGTTCCCTTCCTGAGTGCTTCTGGGTTGAGAGCTGGGTCTGGAAGCACCTGTTTCTCTCCAGCGTTTGGCTATGGCTCTGCCTTTCGGACACTTGGCAACAGCCCCTCTGCTGACTCTGCCTAAAATTGTATCTACCTAAGGGCCCTTTAAACGTTTTTTAGAACATGTTTATTGATTTTAGAGAGGGAAACATCGATGTGACCGAGAAACATCAATTAATTGGTTGCCTCCCATATGCGCCCCATCAGGGGATTGAACCCGCACCCAGGTACATGCCCCAACCAGGAATCGAACCCCGACCTTTGGTGCACGGGGCGATGCTCCCACAGCGCCACACAGGCCAGGGCCCTAAAGGCTCTTTTTAAAATAAATGATGGCACGTCCTATAGGAGGACACCCACAAGCTCTATCAAGATACACTATTTCCCCCTGGCTGGTGTGACTCAGTGGATTGAGCACGGGCTGCGAACCAAAGGGTCGCTAGTTTGATTCCCAGTCAGGGCACATGCCTGGGTTGCGGGCCAGGGCCCCAGTGGGGGCCAATTGAGAGGCCACTACCCATTGATGTTTCCCTCCTTCTCTTTCTCCCTCCCTTCCCCTCTGTCTAAAAGTAAATAACTAAAATCTTTACCCAAAAAAGACACCCTATTTCCGTGTCTGGAACGGCGTTCAGTCTTCCCCGAATGCAAGGGGAAGACCCCTGCCCTCTCTAAGACCCTCGCCATCCACCTGCATGTCCGACAGGCTGCGTGTGGCCCTGTCACGCCACGGGAGTCTCTGAATTGTCACCCGTAAACACAGTGGGAACTCCTGCCACATTCAGTGGGTCTGGACTCAGCCGGGAGGCGGGGCTGCAGGAGAGACACTCCGAAATGCAGCATCTCGCACCACACGGGCCCGCAGTCAGGGTTCAGGTCGGAGAAGAAGGTCATCGGCAAGTGTTTTATTGAATTATTAGGTTGAGTGGAATCTCTTCATTTCCTGAAGCCGGGAGCTGAGACACGCTCCCCGAAGGTGACCCACGACCACCAGCCAGTGTGGAGGTGTGTCTGCGTCTGTGACGGCGAGGGGAAACGGGAGGGTGAGTCTCCTCACCACTCCTCTGCATTAATGAAAGCTCACCCGCTGGAAGAATTAAAGAGGCAGCCCTCGTTTATACAAACTGAACTCAACCCAGGCTCTGTCCCCAGTGGCTGGCTCACCCCCGCTGTCACTGCAGGAGCGAGTCTTGCAGACTGGGGGGGGTCACTTTCCAACAAGGGCCACTTCCACAGTGGAGCCAGCCTGGGTGCAGCGCCAGCAGGGTCTGGGCATCGGAAACTCCAGCTGCCAGGTGTCCCCTCCCGAGAGAGGCCCAAGATGGAAAGGGGGTGCGGAACAGGTGGTCCTCAAGCCGGTTCCTGTGATTGAAAACCCTGTGACTGGGTCCTGCGTCAGGAAAGGTGGTGAAGGGGGTTCTCTCCGTCGGAATGATGCAGCCTTCAGGCACCCAGACTGTAAAGTCGGTGTCGGCATTAACGTTAGGGCTGCAGTGCCAATGTGGTGAAGTGGGATAAGTGGGGGAGCTTCTGATGAGCCTCGGACCGTGTGCCCGAGTTCAAATCACTGTCTGGGATGAACTCTACACCTCAGTCGGTGGGAAGAAGAAAAACCCCGATGGTGGCTGATCAGTGTGCGGGGGCCGGTGGAGGGGGGTGGGTGGCCAGTCTGAAGATGGCTCGGCACAGCCAGGAGCCCACTTTCACACACACACACAAGCACGTTCAGGGTGTCCTTGTGTAACAGGGTGCAGCCAAGATGGGGGCCCCAAATAGGGATTTGAAATGGGGTCCAGAACTCAAGGTGTTCGGGAAATATTAGGATGTCCTCACCCCCACAGGTTTGGTTTGGGGGAAGGGACACAGGGAGCAGGGCCTCTGAGAGCTGTTTTGCATAGCAACAGCTTTGCAGCTAACCTCTGGTGTGGTCATCTAACACATCTATAACCTTCATCTGGTTGCAGAGATATGTTAAATAGCTGTGGCCAAGCTGTGAGCCAGGGGGATGGAAGTAACAGTAACTGGAAGGCAACTCCCCCGAGTTACAGCGCCTGCGTGGGAGCTTGGAGAAGATTGGCTTCCTGACATGGGGCCATGCCTGCCCAAACTCACGATGGCAGCCCAGTGAAGCTGGAAGGATATGGGAGTGCTGGCAAGTGTAGCCAATTGTGGGCGGAGCCGGAAATGGGGCTGCAGAGGAAGATTGGCGCTGGGATTTAAACCCAGATGCAACAGCCCTGGGAGAGAGAACTACGCGGCTTTGCCAGAGCAGGGACCCTCGCAGCTTTAGAAGGGGGAACCACCACCCGGCTTTAGCAGAGATCCCAGCGACACAGCTGATGGTGCCGGGAACCGAGGGAGGCCTACCAGCCGAGACGGATTACTGGGAGGAACCGGGGGCTGCCTGAGCCATGGACTTCTATTTCTTTTCCTGAGATAAGGTACACCAGACTGGGCAAAGGGAGAAGAAAGGACTGTGTGTGTTTGTGGGTGTTTTAAGGGACTTTGGGATTTTGAGGAAGACATTAGGTCACTACTTTAAGTTTGTATAGCATTAAATAAACATTTCCTTTCCTTTTCACAAATCTCTGGCATTGAGAGTTGTCTTTCCTAAGGCGGCGGACATAGTGAACCTGGGGGGCTCCTCTCTGTAACAGTGTATCAGCTTTGCCCCCGCCCCTGTTGTTCTGTAACACTTGGTCACTCATCCCTGCACCCACAGGAGAAACGTGGAACCACAGGGATAAATAATTATGGGTAATTCAGAGCTAAATGAAGCAACACCAGCCTGCCCCACGTGGTGTAGCTCAGGGCACCCATGTGGAGATCACCGGCTGCAAGGCCCTTTCACGTTTCCAGAGACAAGTGCCATGGAAAGACCGATCGGGACGGTGACCCTGCCGTGGGCGGGAGCACAGCCCATCACCCCCTGCAGCTGGGACATTGCTTCGCAGGGATCCACCCGCCTACCATCAGGATCCGCTGGATTTTGGTTTCCACCGAATGGGCCTGGAACTTCCTCGGCGGCTCCATCCGGTACGTGTTGGCAAACTTCAGCCTGGCCAGGGCGCTCTTCCACTCCTTGCCCAGGTCGGCGGCGGACTCGTCCAGCGGGGGCTCCACATACTGCACCTCGTGCAGCGAATCCCGCAGCCTCTCCCTCAGAATCTGCGCGTACTGGGGGAGACAGGGGGCGGGTCGCCTTTCAGCCTGTGGCCTGGACTTTAGACTCAGCACCCCCGGTGGGGCGGCACAGGCCGACACAGCACTTGGGAGCGCACTGTAGCCCGCCTGTGTGACAATGTGGCTGTGAAATCCTAGGTGGGCTGATTCACCCCTTGCTGTCAATTTGGTAAGACCAGAAAAAAAGAGTATCTGGCTAGCTATCACGTATTGTCTGAAAACACAAATACACATGGACACAAACTTGCACACACACATTTAGAATATCTGTAGCAGGTGCCAGCTAACTGGAAGTGACAGTGTCCCCTGGAGAGGGTGTCTGGGTGGCTCGGAGATGCGCGTGTCAGAACACCTTTCCTGTTCTGTGCCCCGAGGTCACAAAATACTCCTTTTCCATCATCTCCTTGTAATTTTAATTATTTCACTTTATCCTTGAAGACATGATACAATCACCGAGGTAACCCTTCCATCAGTATGAAGTTGAAAGGTAAGTGAACCGAGCTGGGGCACACATCATCCCGTGCTTTTTGACCTTCGTGCATTGTGACAGGCAACACACTTTCAGGAAATCCTCATGTAGTGACTGACCCGGTCCAGACAAGTGCTCTGGCCTGAATCACGGCTGTGAGCTCCACCGTGGTGACCAGGCGTCAGCTGTCGCCCTTGCACTCACCCCCGGTCCCGGAAACCCACCCCGAGTGGCCGTGCTAGTGGGAGGGGGCTGAGGGACGACAGGATAGAGCACAGGGTTTCTATCGGCCACGCCTGGAGAGCAGGCTGGGCTCGGCATGTGTGTGGTGGGAGACGAGCCTGAGGAGGCAGGGAGGCGACCAAGGGGACCGATCGTGGGGACTGCGCAGACACTACGGGAAGGAGTTGGGATTTCGTTCCCAGGACAGGGGCAGCCATGGGAAGGGCCGAGCAGGTGAGTGATGTTACAGGTTCCAGCTTTCAAAGGTCAGGCTGGCGGCTGTGTGGTGGGCCCGTTAAAGGGCCATCAGGGCCAGGAGGCGGTAGCTTCACAATGCTTTTTACAAATAATGTTAACTATAAATAACCTCATAACCTTTTAATGGTTTTTCTAGCCAGGAATATGCTTTACTTCTGACTTTATATAAGAATTTTTTATTTCCTAGCAATTTTTTATGTTACACTGCTGTTTTCAATGTGTTATTTTGATGCTCCCTTTCGATTACTTAAAAACATATTTTATGTTTTTAGGAGTAGTTTAATATGGAACTACTATTGCGCCAGATGTTAAAATTTTATTCATTTTAATGTTTACTACCTCTTGATTTTTCTAAAAATAGTTCCACATATTGGGTTGGCCAGAGTCCATTATATTTTTTCTGTAAAATAAAACACACATTTTTCATTTTCACCAGCAACTTTATTGACTTGGATATTTTGAGTGTGTTGCCTGCGGGCAGAGGCCAGGGTGCTGCCGCACACCTCCCACTGCATAAGATGGCCCCACAGCAAAGGGTTATTTGGCCAAAATGTCAGCAGGACCAAGAAACTCTGCAAACCACTTTTGACATGTTCCATCAGTCACAGCGCCTTCCCCATATACTGCACAGATCTTCCTTTCTGCATTTCAGTTGCATTATTACCTTTCTTAATAAAGCATAATATGCTGAAAGTGTTGCATATCTTTTTTCCTCTTCAATATTAAAATGGCTGCACAAAAACTTACCAATTTTTGATGTTTTTCTTAAATGCACTTTATATTTAGTGTGTTTCTTGCAGCTGTCACAATACAACCTAACAAAATTGTTTCAAGTTAAGGACAACTAAGCATTTTACTTGAACAATTAAAAAACAAAACAAAAACAAACAAAAGACAACTAAGGGGAACTAGTGCCATCATCACCGCATGGAAAAAAAACAAAAGAACTATTTGGCCAGCCCAAGATCTGTCTTCCATTTCCTTCATCAATGTCACAGTTTTCAGTGTATGTATGGGTCTTTCATCTTCTCGGTTCAAGTTATTCTTAGATATTTATCCTTTTTTGATGCAATTGTAAATGGAATTAATTCCTTTTTCTTCAAATGCATTCCTAGAGTATAGAAACACACCAGATTTTAGCATACTGGTTTTGGATTTGCTGGTTTTGTTAGGTATAAGTTTTTCAGTGGAGTCTTTAGGGTTTTCTCTGTATAGCATGTCATATGCAAATAGTGGCAGTTTTACTGCTTCCTTCCCAATTCGGATACCGCTTCTCTCTTTTTCTTGCCTAGCTGCTCTGTGCAGGGCTTCCAGGACTACTGAGTTGGCCGACGGGTCCATTATTTTTCTGTGCACTGGCTTCTAGCTGTGCTTGTTAGTGCACGCTGCCTCTTTGCAGCAAGGCCGTCCTGCTGAGCTCTGGGCCCTGGTCTGCGTCCCAACCTTTGCTCACGAGGGCACGAGGCAGACAGAGTTAGGGCACACTCTAACACTCGTTTAACCTCGTTACGTCATTAAGGACCCTGTCTCCACACACGCTCACACCGTGAGGTGCGGGGTCAAGTCACCACACAACAACCAGGGGCACCCAATTCCACCCAATGGGTCTTTCAAGTAATTTGTGCATTTCAAACAAGTGGATGGACACATGATCCTGTTATTTCTAGTACTTTCTTCCGATCTCTTACATGTTTACTGGGTCTGTAGTGATTTCCCCGTCACTCTTGGTATTGTCTTTACTTTTGCCTGATTAGCCCGGCTTGAGCAAGGGCTGACAAACTTTTCCTATTCTTTAGTATTCTAGGGATTGTGGGCTAAATATGGTCTCTGTCCATTCTCCTCCCCCTGCCCTCGTCTCTTCCTCCTTCATCACCCTCCATCCTTTTAAAATAACCCTATAAAAATGCCTGTACCATTCTTAGCGCAGGGCTGTACCAAAACAGGCTGTGAGCTAGATCTGACCCACCAATTAGGTTTGCCAACCTCTGGGCTTGAAGTTTATCAACTTTATTCTTTCCAAAATACCATTGGTTTCATTTTCTCTGTTTTTGTTCACTATTAATTTCCATTTGTTTTTATTACCTCCTTCCTTTTGCTTACTTTTAGTTTGATTTTTTTTCCCACTAATTCCAGCTGGCAGTTGAAATACTGGTTTAAAATCCTTCTAATAGAGGTATTTAGAATAATGAATTTTCTCATGTATTGCTTTAGCTACATCCTACAATTTTTTCAAACTTTTTAAATTTTCATCAGTTTAGGGTATTTTTTTTTCTTTTACCCATGGGTTATATAAAAGGATATCATTGACTTTTCAGATGATTTATGATTTTCCATGTTTTTGTGATTTCTAACTTATTCCATTGTGACTAGAGAATGTGATTTACATTATCTGAATCCACTTGGAATTTGTCTTATGTGCCAAGACATGTTGTATCTTAGTAACGTTTCATGTGTGCTTCCAAAGAACACTCATGCCACTGCGGTTGCACCAAGTGTTCTACAGAAGTGCCACAGTTGTACTTGGGCTATAGTGCTTCTTTTATATCCTTAGTAGTTTTTTTGTTTGTTCTATTAATTACTGAGACGTGTGTTAAAATTTACAACAGTAATCATGGATGTCTGTGCAAGAAATACACTTTTGCTTTCTGTATTTCAAAGCTCTAAGCTTAGGTACATAAACATTTAGGATTATGTCCTTCTGATGAACTGCCCTGATAGAATATATAATGACCCATTTATCTGTCATAATTTTATTTAAAAATGTACCTTCTCTGGTATTAATATAGGCACCCCAGCCTTCTTTTAGTTAGTGTTCACACGGTATACCTTTCTCCATCCTCTTCATTCCTTAACCTATTTGTGCCTGTATATTTAGTGTGTTTCTTGCAGACAGTTTATAGTTTCACCTTGCTTTTATAACCAATCCAACAATCTCTGAATCTTAATTTGGCTGTTTATATTTAACGAGGTTAACATTTCTAGAAATCCATATTTGTTTCCTATCTGTCCCATCTCTTTTTGTTCCCTGTACTTTTTATGCTTTCTTTTGAATTAAGTATTTTTTAATAATTCCATCCGTCACTTGTTAAACCACCAGCTGTATGCTTTCCCTGTGTGGTTTGGGGCTTGCAGTGCGTCTCCAGCTCACCCCAGTCCCCCTTCAGGTCCTTGCTCAGCTGTGGACTTCCTTCCTCTCCGCCCACCTCTCTGGCTCACGTTGTTTAAAACCAACAGTGCCATCACTCTTGATGTACTCAATCAATTATCTTTAATAAATTTAAAAATAAGAAAAATCGATACTTTTATCAACACTCACAACTCCTAGTGCTTTCTATTCCTTTCCAAATTTATATCTTATATATTCCTTATGTTGAAAGGACTTCCTTTAACATTTCTGACAATGTAGGTCTGTTGATGAATTCTTTTAGCTTTCATGTCTGAAAAACAGTACTTTGTCTTTATTTTTGGAAGATATTTTCACTAGGTATGGAATTCTGGTTGGTATTTTTAAAAGACTTTATTTATTTTCAGAGAGAGGAAGAGCAGAAGAAAGAAAAGTTGATGTAGGAGAGAAACATGGATCGGCTGCCTCTCATACACGGGGACCACACCCGACAGCCAGGCCTGTGCCCCGTCTGGGAACCGGCCACCTCTCACTGTGCAGGACAAAGCCCACGCCTCGGAGCCACGTGGGGCAGGGCTGGGCTGGTGGTGTCTTCACCTTTAAATGTCCTTTACAGCATCTCCAGGAATGTAAAGATAACTCAATGTCTTCTGCCTTGCAATTTTTCTGATGAGAAGCCTTGCCATTTCATCTGTGCTCATCTGTACTTTAAATGTTTTCTATTTGCTTTTATACTTTTGAATCACTGGTTTGAGCAGAATTTTGTTTCTTTTGCTAGAACTTCAATGAGCCTCTTGAATTTGTGGGGTTACAATTTTCACCAAATTTGGCAATTGTGCATCATTAATTCTTCAAGCATTTTTTGTCTTTCCTCTCTCATCTCTTCACTTGGGGACTCAAAATACAGGAATAAAATTTGTCCTGCAATTTTCCCATATCTCATTGATACATCCTACTTTTTCCAGGTTTTATCACTGCTGTCTCTAAATTCCCTAATCCTCAGTGGTGTGGAATCTGCTGATTGTTGTTGTACATGCCCTGACACCCAATTCCTCATCTGCAGCAGTGTGATTTGGACTTGACATGCTCAACTTTTTCTCTAGACTTGAACATACGGGTGTCACAATGTTTTATAACTATGTAGGTGCTCTAATTTAATAAAACTTATGTAATGCAACAACTGTTTTATAATAACTACTTTGGTGTCCTTCAACAGTAATTATATCTTTTATCTTTTCTGCGTGCACTTACTGATTGTGTCTTGTCCTCATTTTGGATTGTATTTTCCTATTTTGTGGTAGGTCTGCTAATGTTTAGTTGTGACACCAAGCACTGAATTTTACCTTAATTGCTGCACATTTTGGTACTCCTCTAAGTATTCCTGAGCCTTTGTTTGGAATGTAGTAACTTGGAAACAGTTTCATCCTCTGGAGGCTTGCTTCTCAGTGTGACAGGCCAGACCAGAAGAATCTACGTTCTGGCTGCTTTCACCCCCACTGCTTAGAGTGCCAGACAACGTACCTGGCACTCTAACCAGTGCCCTCCAATGGCATGGTTTTCCACTCTTGCTGGTGGAAACACAAGTTAGTCTGGGTGCCACAAAGGTTTTCTTTTTCTGCCCCTCTGGGTAGTCTCCTGTCCCGAGGCCCCGTGCTGGGGACCCAAGGAGAGCCCTCCGCAGGCACTGGGAGTTCAGCTGTCCTCTGACCCTGTGCTCTGCTGAGTCGTACCTCCTGCCCTGCCCTGGCTCACCTTCCCTGCTTCTCCTCCCTCAGAGAGCTCTGGCCTGTCTTGCCTTACAGCCAACCCATAGTAGCAGCTGCTTCCTACATTTTGCATTATTTCCAGTAGCTTCTCATAGGAGTTAGTTTTTCCATGCTGGCTGCTAGAAGTAGTTCATCAGAAATAAATCTGTTTCGATCATCTGCCAAACTGCTTTATGTTTTTGGCTGAGGAAGGGGCATTATTAGCTACCTAAACCACTTAAAAACAAAGCCGTTAACATTTTCATGGAGAGAATGCTTCTCCCTTGGGTAATCACCACCTTCCCCCCACAATGTACTTCAGGGACACGGCCACACTGTGTGAGTGACAGCAGCTCCCAAATGCAGACTCCCCTGGGGACAGGGCATGCAGGTGTGGTGTGCAGGTGACACCTGAAGAGATCCTACCATGCTAGAAACTCACATCTCTACCATTTCTTCCTCACGTCCTCCTCAAGCACATCTTACCCCTTTGTTAAGGAAGAATCTTCGTAATCACTTCTAAAAGTTAGAGTAGGCTTTAAACATGATCACCGTTTAACTAAAACCACCTGGCTTGTTTAACCTATTGTATGGCATTTGCCTACATTGAACATGATTATAATCCCAGCACAAACGTGAGCGTGGCCATGCCGTCAATGCCTTTCTAACAGCTCCTTGCTAGTCTGTAAGATTTTCAAATGTATGTACACGATGGAGACTAATTAAGCTTCCAATTTTTGGTAATCCAAGGGTTTAGAATCTTTGGTTGCGAGCTGATTTCTCGTTAAGCAAAAATTTGGTGAAGTGGAAGGGTGTCCACAGAACGGAGGAGGAGGCTCAAGGGCCAGGCAGCACACGGGGCACTCCAGTCTGTCCCCCTCGTCCCGAATCACTCTCCGTCCTCTCCTTGACCTTCAGGAACACTGCACCCACTGAACGTGTTTCCGACTCATCTTCACAACATTAGAGCAAGTGACTGACAGCCCCACCAGAACTCCATGCGGGGGGGAATCAGTTAACTCTACAAGTAAAAACCGAGGTACTGCTATGAGAGGGGGGAGTAAGGATGCAGGGCACACAATATCAAAACAGTTTTACGTGGATTAAATTGTGGGTCCTAATTTTTCCTGTGCTTGGCACAGGGGAACCGTCAGCGGCCAGCAAGTTAGAACCGAGGCATGGGTGCGTTCGGTGAGCAGTCGCGGACTTAGTCTCCCCCTAATTACGGGCTCCTTCCAACTTCTTACCCCTGGAAGCTGGGCTTTAAAGACAGCTATGAATAATCACACCCGCATCTCACAACCCAGAACTGCCTTGGTCCACGTCCCCTCGGTCCCAGATTTCGGCCTAAACACGCCATGCAGCTGGGCACCTCCTCCTCTGGAACTGGGACCCACTCCCTTCTCAAGGTCCTTGCCGCCATCCGGCGTGAAGTTCAGACAGGGAACCTCTGCTGCCTCGACACTCAGGCACTGCCATTACCCGCGGGCCGCCCGTCTGGCAACGCAGCAGTCTGGGGGGCGTGAACGCTAAGGCACTCGACGACTGGCCAAGGTCTGCGGCCTCGCTCTGCTGGGGTCCCTAGCCGTGCAGACGTGGTCTACGTCTCCTCCCCTAGCTCGTCCTCTCCTCTCGTCTGACCTGTTTCAGCGCCTTCAAAAGCAGCACTCTAGCCCTGGCTGGCGTAGCTCAGTGGATAGAGCGCGGGCTGCGAACCAAAGCGTCGCAGGTTCGATTCCCAGTCAGGGTACATGGAAGGGTTGCAGGCCACGGCCCCCAGCAACCGCACATTGATGTTTCTCTCTCTCTCTCTCTCCCCCTCCCCTCCCTTTCCCTCTCTAAAAATGAATAAATAAAATCTTCTTTAAAAATTAAAAAAAAAGCAGCGCTCTGCGCGCTCTCCCCGCTTCCTGTCACTTGCGCGTCCTCTACGGGAGTTTCGGGGAGAAACCGCTGCAGACGAGAGAACAGAGCAGTTCCTCGTCTCAGCTTTATCCTTGGATCCTCTTTGTACCCTTGGGAAAATTACTTCTCTGTTAAAGTGTCAATGAAAAATAAAGTCTGGATTACCACACGGGTTTTCAAACTACGGCCACAGAGAAGTCCTGGCGTTACACCGCCCGGTGAACCCGAAGGGCACTTTCCCTCCGTTTCAGACAATAACCCTAACGGACGCCTTCTTCAACCACCGAGTCTACCGCTGTCTTTAAACTGAGGGCATCTCCTCGCTCTGCTCGGTAAGTCGGCGGTTTCCTCTACGCCTGTGGCCGGTGCAAGGTGTCCGGGCGGGGGCGCCCTCTCCGGTGACCGGGAAACGTGCCTTCCGGGGAGGCTGGGGAGACCCGAAAGGCCCGGAGAGGCTCTGGATAGGTTCCGCGGGACCGCTCGGTCTAGGTACGGAACCGCGGCCCCGCCAGCCACGGCCGCGCCGCTCCAGCGCGGGCGTCCGCTCCCCACCGGGGACGCCTGCCTCCCGGCTGGGCAGCCCGCCGTCCGTCCGCGCACTCACAGACTCCTTCTCGAACATGCTAGGCCGCCTGTCTCTCCGAGGCGTCGCCGCGGACTGCGGAGCGGACTGGTGCGAGGAAACCCTCCCCGCTCGGCCCCGCTTCTCCATCCCGCCCTCGTCGGCGACACGCCCAGCAGCTCGTCTCCACCGCCCACGAACGGCGAGGCCGCCTCCCGCGAGAACGCAGGCTTCGCGCAGGCGCCGCGCCAGCCGGAAGTGCGGCCCGGAGGAGGCGGGGCGGAGCGCACGTCATCTCGCGGCGCCGGCGGCTGGGAGCCGGAAGTCATGGAGGTAGAACGGGTAGGGGCAGTTCCCCCGCGTTCCCTTTGCGCACCTCTAGCGGGTGGGCCTCGGCGCGGCGCGCAGCAGTGACTGCCGCCGGGATCCAGCCGTAAGCGACGCCCTCGGGAGCCGCGGCGGAGGCTGGTCGGCCGCGTCCCGCCCCTTCGTCGGCGACCAGCCTGAGGGCGGGCTCCTGCCCCAACCCCAGAGCTCAGCCCCAACCCCAGTCTGTCCCGGGCCCGGATCGACTCCCCCTTGGGTCCCCCGTGTAAGGGCCGTGCGGGGGCAGGGCGCCGGTGCTCGGACGCCTGCACAGCCTGGAGGTTACGGGAACCTGGGGCTCTTCGCCGAGAGCCAGGGCCAGCGGGCGACTCCGGTCACCTGCTGCTGCTTCCCACCGCGGCCATCTGTGTCGTACACCAAGCAATGTGGGCAGTCTTGCGTCGTGAAATGGCCTCTGTGGCTCACACTTGCACAATAAAGTCATTTCTTACCTTTTTAGGCCAATTAGGGCACAAAATACTTAGTCACAAGGACCTTGTTGGCAGTAGATGGGATTCTGTGCTGTTGCCACGAAATAAGGATTTTATTTCCCTTCACTCAGCTACATGTCAGACATCCATCGTCAGCTTCAGCTGTGTCTACTAGTCAGCACTACGTGCTGGGTGCTCTTCAAGTGTCTCTAACGACTGCAGTGCTGGAAGGGGATAATATTTTTGCACCCCTTTGCAGTTAAATTGAGGCTCAGACACGTTCTGAGCAAGAGGTAACTTTTTCAAGGCAAGAGATACAAAAATTCTGAGAATGAGTTAAAATTTAAGCCTTTCTGGTCTGACATAGGATGTCTGCACAGCCCCGTGCTGCTCTGATCGAAACTTCGAAGTCCCAAAGGAGCACGGGTCAAAGCTGGTGCAAGCGCCTGTACACACTCGACCATGCTGGGCTGTGTGTCCAGTGGGGAAGAGCCGTGATTGTCACTGTTGCACAGGACAGGGCATCTGTCCCAACTGATAGTTTTAAGTATTGCAGCACCTAATATTTGTTGATTCGAAGAAGCGCAACTCATTCCTTTAGAGTTTGCATGCTTTTTAAAAATGCAGAGTCCCTTTTGATGTGAAAGTAACCCTAGAGTATTATGTTTCTGTATCAGTCAGGAGACAAACCACACTCGTTTTTGAACTAAGAAGTTAACTGGCCCTGGCTGGTGTTGCTCAGTGGATTCAGCGCTGGCCTGCAAACCAAGGAGTCAATGGTTCAATTCCCAGTCAGGACCCATGCCTGAGTTGCAGCCAGGTCCCTGGAGCGGGGGGCACATGAGAGGCAACCACACATCAATGTTTCTCTCCCTTTCTTCCTCCCTTCCCCTCTGTCTAAAAATAAATAAACAAAATCTTTAAAAATAAAGTTAACTGGATAAGGATAAGAGGAGATCTCTCCAAACCCGGTGGTGGCACCGCAGGAAGCAGTGCTTCCCCCAGCACCAGGGAGCCACGGGAAAGGGGGGCGGGTTCCAACTTAGACCTGAAGAGGAGGGTCCCTCACAGCTGAAACTCAGGTCTCTAAGGTTGAGCTGCTCAGCCATCTGGAAGCGACTGTTGAGGGGACACACTGGACTCGAGGGTTTGGTGGGATGAGGGTGATGCCAGGTTTGCATGGGTTGGGAACCTGCAGAGCACTCAGCTGCTGGTGTAGGGGGGTGACAGCAGAGACCAGAAAGTGGACAGAAGTCCCCAGGCTGCAGGAGCAAGTTCCATGCCCCCGGCTGTCTTACACTGGCCACCCGCAGTGCTCTGCTGAGTCAGAGAGAACCTGGAGTGACTCATGCAGCTGTCTGGGGCAGCTGCACAGCTGCTGGGCCTGCAGGCATTGCACTGGTGCTGAGAGGGGGAGAGAGGGAGAGGGAGGGAGGGAGGGAGGGAGGGAGGGAAGAAGGAAAGTGAACCTTCCAGAGGATAGGAAGGGCGGCAGGGAGGTAATGAGCAGGGCGGGGACTTAAACTGGCCAGCTGCCAGCTTAGGGAGCCCCCGGGGCTTCGTGACCATTAGAGGTGACACCTCACAACCTGACCCAGCATGTGAAGGCCCAGGTGACCTCGGTGGGATGTAGGATGGTTATGGGGACCCTTCGTGGAGAAGCAGTGTGGGTGGCTGCTTTCTCCATTTTAGTTCATTATGCTTGATTCTCTGCTTTTCCTTTCCCCATTTTAAAAAAATTGCTTATTTTTATAACTTTGGGATAGAAAGGAGCGCTGAAGGGAATAGTGCACTATCTATAAAACACTTGAATGTTTGTAAACTCATGCTTAACAAATATTATGACTAATAAAATTTAAATGTTAAACATTTATTTGAAAATACATAAGTTATCTTTCATTGCTATTTATTTTTTAAAAGATTTTATTTGTTTATTTTTAGAGAGGGGGAAGGAAGGTGGAAGGGAGGGACAGAAACATCTATGTGTGGTTGCCTCTCACGCACCCCCTACTGGGGACCTGGCCCACATCCTAGGCCTGTGTCCTGACTGGGAATTGAACCCATGACCCTTTGGTTCACAGGCCGGTGCTCAATCCACTGAGCCACATCAGCCAGGGATCTTGGATTACTATTTAATCACAATGTTTTAACATACAGTTCTTGTAAGATCCGCAGTATTAACAGTAATCATACCTGAATATATTCTGTACTTATAATAGAATATTCTCGTGTTAAATGGATAATTAGTGCTCCTCTGTTTTTACTCCTATGAAGCAGCATCTTTTATGTTCTCTATTTCAGATTGCACTAGAGGATGCTGTCACCACCTGTCTCTCGCCCTCGGTGTATGATATGATCTGCACACTCGGCTTTGAACTCAGAGAAAACCGCGACATCGACAGCATCGTCACTCAGGATGGGGAAGTGTGCTGGGGGACGATCACAGCGTGCGTGGCTGACGCGGGACCAGGTCTGCCCCGGCTCTGCACCCCAGACCTCTGTCTGTGCTATCTGTTTGGAATGGCTTGACGTGTGAGACACCCCTTCTGGCGATTACCCTGTTTGGTCAGAGGATGGTATTAAACTGGTCTAACTCGAGACAGGGAAGGAGTTGGGCGAGAAGAGGGGTGTGAGGCCGGAGAGGCGCCGGAGAGTTCCGGCACGCTGGGCTGAGGAGACCTCGTGCGGGAGAGGTCAGGAGGTGGCGAGGGTCAGCGGGCTGCAGGGGGCTCGGGCCTCAGCTCCAGGCCCGCAGTCCGGGTGGAAAAGGGGAAAAAACACCAGTCGTGGATTAGGAGTGAATGACCAGTGACATACTACACAGCTGTTTTACGTCTCCTCCACCCATTTTTATGCATTCTTTGGAGCGGGGAGTTGCTCTGGACATTTAACAATAGTTCTAGGATTGACAGGTGAATGTGCTTAGGCCAGCAGGTCTGTCACAGGAATTTGTAAGACTGGCACACTTACAGATAGGAAAGCGTGGGTGTGCAAGGCTTCTCCTCACCACATTGTTTGTAACCACCAGGAAGACAGAAGCGCTAGAGACAGCCAGACGTCAGGCGGCAGGGATCAGTGAAGAAAACCACGACCATTTCAGAGGAGTATTAGGCAGAAGAGAAGAAGGATGAGGGCCCAGCTTTCTGGCATCGGCATCTCCGAGCCACGTTGCTAAGAGAAAAAAAGGAGGATCATACATTTGCATTTGCTTTTATATGCACAAATATTTATAAATACACACAAGGGATTAGTAACAGCAGCAGCTCCAGGGAGGAGAATTCAGCGGAGAATTCAATTCTGTTTTCTGATCATGAACCATCTGGGCATTCAGCCCCAAACTTACTAAAAAAGCTCATATTATAAATATGTTCTAAAGTAACTAAGGTCATTGGAAATTTCGCAGTCTAATAATGTTAAGTAAAATTCATGTTAAAATATTACATATACAGTATGAACCTGATTTTGTAAAAACGTATATACAGGTAAAGAAAGTGAAGAAAATATTTTTTCTCTTGTGTGAACCTTTCTGTATTTTCCAAACTCTCTGCTGATAGCATATTTTTCTTTTATCATCAGTTGAGCACTTATTTCCAATGTAGGTGTATCTTTTTTGTAGTTCACTTATAAACGGTTGTTGATGGGGTGGAAATTCTGTAATTAGAGCACTGTTTGGTCGATGACCCTGACACGCTCCTCCCCACTTGGGCTGTGACACTAACCTGTTTCCTCTCCCCTGAAGCCCAGGGTCTGGATTTCCGGGAAAGCGTGAGGCTGCTGGGGCCCGTCTGTGAGGCCGTCCACTCACACCTGCTATCCCTGACCAAGGCGCAGTTCGGGATTCAGTACGCACCCTGGCTCCAGTGGACACATTCCCCACAGGTCCGCCTTTGCAGTCCCTCTTAGAAACCTGTATTACTTGCTCATTTTAAAGGGGCCTCCTCGAGGTGCCTCCCCCGACCATGAAGAAGCCAAGAGGCTGGGGAGGGAAACGGGAGCCATCCTGCAGCACCTCCAAGCCTGAGCTGAGAAGCAAGCCCTTCGACCAAGGGTGGTGTGGGGGCGCGGTGTCAGGAGGGGCTTGGTCGGTGGGCGCAGGTTCTGGGACAGAAGTCTGGTGGGCCTTTGCAGAGAAAAGAAAGGCTGGACAGAGAGACAGTGGGGCCCGGAGCCTGGAGAAGGGATGTGGCCTGGTTCACGGTGACGTGGACAGAGCGGCCATTCGGGGCCCCCTCTCATCTCGGTTGGTTGGTGGGTAGGCGCACACCTGCCATCGCACTGGGAAACTCTAAACACCGCGGTGCGGCAGAAACCCTAATGGGTCAGGCTGCAAATCTCCTGAGCTGTGATTCAGTG